ATTCATGAATTAAGAAAAAATACTATCGTCGTTTAATGGGAAGCTAGTAGAAATTTCAAGGGTTAATTGCCAGACTATGTAATTAACCAGAGTTAAAGTTAAACTTTAACTCTTTTTTAATGTATATTTTGTATGCTTAGAAAATTTACACCATTATATATGCATATTTAGTTCGATATGATATGTGCATACATCGTGAGTCGAGAACAATTAATTTCTCGGAGCTATGCATATCTATGACTACATTCAATTAAAAAGTGTTTATTCTGTCAAAATAAACTCCAATAACTTTAGGTTACAATTTTTTTTTATATTTGATAAAAAGTGTACGGAATGCGTCGATGTTTATGTAAAACAATATGTATGTTTACTGGTGGTAGGACCTCTTGTGGGTCCGCGCGGGTGGGTACCACCACCCTGCCTATTTCTGCCGTGAAGCAGTAATGCGTTTCGGTTTGAAGGGTGGGGCAGCCGTTGTAACTATACCTACTTGAGACCTTAGAACTTATATCTCAAGGCCGGTGGCGCATTTACGCTGTGGATGTCTATGGGCTCCAGTAACCACTTAACACCAGGTGGGCTGTGAGCTGGTCCACCCATCTAAGCAATAAAAAAAAAATAAAAAAAATGTAAAATGGGTCGATAAACTAACAAAAATACTAAAAAAAAACTATTGATTTAAACCAGAAGGCAAAAATGCTGAGATTTATTGAAACGATTTTAATAGCGCATAATGAACATTCCTAAATTGTTTTTTTATCAATTAATGAATAATAATCATGAAGATATTTTCTGAAACCTGAAACTATTATTTGCTCGAGAATTTTTATAGTACTTTACGTTTGGTGTTGACTGATGAGCAACCTATAATGATATTCTTCTTTCTTGAAATATTTCAACACAATTAAAACTACTTTCACGGTTTAATCTTACCTTTTTTATTGTCATTAAATTACTTTCAACGTTTGGAATATTTTACAGTTTTCATGGTCACGGACGACTGAAAATTTCGAGATTTATCCGTAAAAGTAATTTGATTATGTCTCTGATTCGTGAGAGTCAATGAAAGCGCTATAATGAAACAAATCATTATGACGTAGGCCACAAACAAATGATCATCAAAATTGCGCACATACCAAAACATTCGAAATTGATAATGATGAATTTCCAAATTAAACTGAATTATTTCAAAATATTTTTCCAATAAACAAATCAAGAATCAAATCAAGTGGACGGTTTATTTGAAATACAAATCCCTATCTATAGTCTGAATAACATTTGAAAATAAACTTAAACAATTTGATTTTATAACAGAACGAATTCGTTAACAAAAGATTGGGCGTTTGTTTACTGAATAGAAAGAAGCTGCATAATTTTGTTTGTAAAAACAGTTTATAAATTCGCTGTTCAATCTAGACAGCTTAATTAAATTTAGGTAGCGTCGAATGAGCGATGCCATTTTAAGCACCGATGATTTTACGTGAAACTGACCATATAGGGACCGCAGCCACCTCTAATTACCTAATTACGTGTTATTTTGCCATCATTACTCTGTAGTATTTCTATGGTAAGGTGTTTATCTCATTTTCCTATTCAATTCAATTCATTGCTTCATTGTAAAATGGGAATTCATTCATCGAGATAAGCAAACTAAAGGCAAGATCAAATTGCCTTTCACTAAATGTTCCGAGGGAAATAAATTCCTTGAATCAAGTAACAATATGAGTACATGACAAACTTTCTGAAATTTGTCCTTCATATACATATATGATAAGTATTATCTTCAGAAGTTATTAATAATTAAAACTACTTTTAAGGTTTAATTTCGTGTATTTTTTAGCTTTAGTTTGCTGATGTACAACACCGTAGTCGTCCGTGCCCACGAAAACTGTAAAGTTAACGAAACTTCGAAAATAATATAATGGCAATTAAAAATGCAAGATTAAACCGTAAAAAAATATTTTATTTATCTCATATTTAATAAGATCTTAAATAAATTAAATCAAAAGTAAATCCAGCAAAAGGCATCATTTGGGAATGGAGATGCCGGACACCAAGACGTGACCCGTGGTCCTTTACGATAAGAATAAACTAATAAGAAATCTTCGCACCATTATCATCTGAGCTCCGAGCAGACCTTATTTTTCTCTGTGAGCGAGTGCGGAATTTATGAGAGACCCCAGAGCAATAAAATACCTTGCGAGAAAATGAAAGAGCAAATCGCAATATATTTGTTTCTTGGTGGCTAGAAGGAAACCGTTACAGCCATCTGCGGGTGAGTATTTTTATGGAAGTGTTATATGAAATTCATTCATCATGGACCCAAAANTCTGAGCTCCGAGCAGACCTTATTTTTCTCTGTGAGCGAGTGCGGAATTTATGAGAGACCCCAGAGCAATAAAATACCTTGCGAGAAAATGAAAGAGCAAATCGCAATATATTTGTTTCTTGGTGGCTAGAAGGAAACCGTTACAGCCATCTGCGGGTGAGTATTTTTATGGAAGTGTTATATGAAATTCATTCATCATGGGCCCAAAACAAGTTCACTTTACGATTCACTACAAATTTTGATCACTTTATACGACATTAGCGCGATTTTGTAATCACAATCATTTAACTGGCAGCGGAAAAGAAAAATACATATATACAGATTACATTAAACTTTGAAAATGAAAAATAAATGTTGAAGACGTGTTTATATTTGAAAAAGAGCTTGATAAGGCTACCCTTCTTTATTTTATACTTCTTATCCATTCTGTTATATTACATCGTATTATCACGTAAGCTGCGGCACGAGACTTATCTCAAGAATAATAAAATAAAACTCATTTTCCATTAGAGCAACAGGTTGTATCAAATTCAATAAGAATTATATCTATTTAGAAACTTGAGCTTTTGTAGCGTGAATGTTTTATCATCCGAGATGAATTATCGGATGTTACTCTGTCTTTTCTTTGCGAAATGATAAATTGTTTGCTTAAGTTGCGAGATCCCTTTCAATACGGTACATTACTTATTTATTGTCGAAAACAATACGCTAAAGTGTTCATGTTGTGTTAGTGCTTTTAGGTAACATCAACATTTATTTGATGAATTTCAGAAATTGATATAATACGCGTAATTTATTTTCTGCAAAATCATTTATTCGGTTCGTCTATTTCGTTACATTAATTTACTAAGTGAACATACTTAGTAATTACGTGCTCAGATAAATTGATTGTGGACTGCAACGGTTCAAATCACGGCCATCTTGCTTGATCTAGACCAAAGCACATTTTAAATGCGTTTATGATCTCACTCGGAGTTTAGTAGTTTTCGGAACCGATAGATATCACAATTTAAATCACTTACATTGAGACATGAAATCAAATTTTAAACGTCATTACATAACGGTTGTCCTACCTTTTTTCCTGCTCACTTTTCAAACTGAAAGGTATTACTGCGTCACGGCCGTATTGTCATAGCTACTACGCGAATACGCTGCAAAAGTATTTTCGCGGGTTTTGTTTTCATTTTACGATGTTATTCTTAAGATTAAGATCCAGAATTATTAATGTTTGACAATTCTCTTATAATCAGTTTATTAGACGTTTAAATCATACCAAATATTCTCAACTTACATTATAAAAAAATCACTGATTAGTAAAACATAACAATGTTCATAAAAAAATAAAGTCCCTCTAATTTAATCGGTAAATTATTAACGTAGACTCATAGTTTTTTCTTCGGTTTCCGCAAACCATAGACTTAATCAAACTATTGCTATTTACAAAAAAAGTATTGATTTTTTAACATTAAATGAAAATTCGACGGCAGTTAACACGATAATCAAATGCGATAATCGATAATCGCGATAATGCGATAATCGATAATAAGCACGGTAATCGATGAACAGAGTGACCACACAACTGTGACCACAAAAATTGTAAATCGTCATGTTGAAACGTCGGAATAAATAAAATTTAAATAATAAACGCGAGCTCAATCCCTGGAAATATTTTTAATAATGAAGACCACTCGTAACGATTTCGTAAAATAAGAAATTTGTTTGCGTAAAATCTGGTCTCTTGTCAGTCCGCACGGGTAGGTACCACCACCCCGCCTATTTCTGCCATGAAGCAGTAATGCGTTTCGGTTTGAAGGGTGGGGCAACCGTTGTAAGTATACTGAGACCTTAGAACTTATATCTCAAGGTGTGTGGCGCATTTACGTTGTAGATGTCTATGGCTCCAGTAACCACTTAACACCAGGTGGGCTGTGAGCTCGTCTACAAATCTAAGCAATAAAAAAAAATAGTATTAAAATAAGAAAATTATCAGAGAGCATGAGAGCACTTCAAGCTCAGAGCTCATACATTTTATACCAGTAGGTACATCTCTTGCTTTTATAACTCTAATAAATCGAGAGCACATATTGGAGGTGAGGCGCGCACTCGGTTCTATAATTTAGTACTGAGATATGTGACGTTACAGATATTGCTGTAAATTTTAATTGTTTGAATTCGATAAGGATATTTCCAATGATCGGCGTCGAAAATAGAACTTTCAAACTCAAGGAATCAATCCGTATCATTATCTTCGTTTACATAAATTAGATGGATTCTGATCATTTTATATTGCATTGAGATGCAGCTGTTTTAATGTTCGATAAAATAATAATAATAATAAATTCGACGCTTGAAAGGCAAACGTGACTAAGCGACAATGCGTGAACTTTACAGTAGACTAATTTAAAGTTGAAATACCTGAAAACAAAATTTATTTTAACGAATCTAGCTGTAGTAGAATCTAGCTAGTAGCTGTAAGATTGAAATGATTTTAATAGATCTCGAAATATATTTTTTTGCGCATCGAATATGGTCATTGCCTATCATTTATGTAGAAAGCAGTTATTGTCGCTTAGTCACGTTTGCCTTTCAAGCGTCTATATGAATAAATGACGCCCAACTCTTCATTAAAAACATATTTGAGGCGAATCCGTTAATGTAGATTGAAACTTACCATTTCTCCGCCGGTGAACCAACAAGTGTTCTGTATCAGAAACGTCGCATCTAAAAAGTATATTTTTCATTACTTTGAAAAGACGATTCCTGTAACAAATAACAAAATACGACTTAACTTAAATTCTAAGCTAGTTACAAAAGAAAAATAATACCACCTTTATGCCTTAATCTCGCGTTGATAACTGTAATAATAATAATAATAATACTTGAATAAAAAACTTTTTGATTTTAATTTGATTTAAAACCTTGTTTGAAGATGAACGCGCCATAGTTAATATACAATATATCTCTGTCATAACATACACATCATATTAAGTGTACTAGTGGCCCCGCAGTAGTCGAAATTCGACTATGATTAATTGGAATTGTAAGTTTGTACACTATTATGATTGTATTTTATACTTCTATAATCAAAAATTTCGCCAAGACTACACTATGAAAAATATTAACAAAGACAAACAATATTTAATCTATTCTCAATTTGACAACAGACGTCAAGAACAAAAGTTTGACAATAAATAGTATGCATGCGTGTGTGCATCAAATACATGTTATATAAGTAGTGTGTGTAATGTTTTCTTTATTGATTTAATGTATCTTTAATGCATTATTTAAAAAAAAATATCAGCATTGTGCACTTCTTCTCTATGTTCTCTATAAGTGTGGAAAGTTTCATACTCCTCCGTCCGCGCAATTTTCGTAAAAAGGGATACAAAGTTTTTGCTTCACGTATTAATATATAGATAATCTATGATACACATTGTGTATGTAATGACAGAAAGATAGATATGTACGTATAATTCAAGACCTTTTAAAACGTAAATTATAATCCAAATTGAAATGTGTATTTACTCTACTGAGCACTGAGAAAATCGTTCAATTTTGTTAATTGTTTCAAATTAAAAGGTCGTCGTAATTTAGGAATATTTTATTTGATGTAACAGCCACATCGGAGTCTCGACCCACGGGAGCCCACCAATTACACCCCACGGGTACTGAATAACGAACGAAATCATTTCCCTCGACCTCGCCTTTTGATCCAAAACATTTACTAATTGCTCCCGTATAAGCACAAGTATATAATTTATTTTAATACATCAAAATCATATGAATGCGATGCCGAGAAATGTGCGTTATTACTCATACGAGAAACGTAATTGCGTTACGGCTTTAACTCGCGCAATAAAATTATTACGCTTTAATTTGATTACGCAAATTTCATCTAGGGGGGAAATGAGAAATTCATCAAGAAAATCAATACAATATTCGGTTATATAGACTTTTTTAAAAACTGTTCGATTAAATGGAGCTACTTTCTGGAATCTTATACCTTTAAACGAGCAATTCTTATATATTAATATATATATATAATCTGAATCTCGGAAACGGCTCCAACGATTGTTTTAAAAATTAGTATACAGGGGATTTCGGGGGCGATAAATCGATCTAGGTACGATTTATTTTCAGAAAATGTTGTTTTAATCGTGTTTTCAATAATCCTCTTCCAGACATCTATTGGCGAATAATAATACTATTTATAAAGACAATTGTGTCTAAAGGTATTTCAGCAGATGACGTTGTTAAGACACCCGAAAAACACAATTTATCAACAACAAAAAAACCGGTCATCGTCTAGTATGTTTTTATTTGACATACAAATTTCAAGAACTTGTACCGCTTGTACAAGATAGCTCAATTAATTAATGACGATTTAGAAATAGGTCGAATACACACCCAAACAATATCGTAATTGTGTCATCAGAAAACGGATCAGAACTCACAAACATACCATATTTTTTTTTAATAGGCATTGTTTTAAGACATAAAAACTTTAGAAACTTTATTTTGGATTTTGCCATACACTAATGTAGGACTTTATTTGTTTAAGAATAATGGCCAAACACAAGTTACAAGTGTGGAGTTGTACTGAGAGGTGCTTATAAGAAACGGGATGTACTCAACATTATTGCAAGCCGAATGTTGAAGTACTTAAAGCACATAATAATAAGTCCTAAGAAATATGAACTCCTAAATAATACAAGATAAAGAGTCAGAAAACAGAAGTGTAGGAAAAAGAAGACAATCGTGCCCGTAAAATCAACGTCAAAGATTTAGCAAAAGCACTCATTCTTTGTTTAGAATTGTTATTTGTAAAGTCCAAGTCGTTTTGATTATCCTCCCATTGCTAACTTTCGTTAGAGCACTTCACTTGAAGAAGAAAATAACGATCGTGTCATATAGTGATATAGTCTACACGATATCCAACGAAAGCATTGAAAATTAAATGTTTAATGTAACAACTAAATATTCGAGGGATCGTGATCAAATTGAGTACGGTTTGCATTTATTCTAATTCATTATAATTTATGTTTCCGAAAAAATCACAAAGGGTTTTGTGTTTTATGCATGCAGCAATTCCAGTAATGCTTTCACTCAAGCAAATAACACTGTAAGAATAATAAAAAAAAATCAAATATTTATAGGTTAGTGGAAACATGACATATACCTACTAAGCCTTTACTCGAAAAATATGGAAACAGAGGCTTTTCCCTCTATCGCATAATATTCTTTTATTCAGGGGCTCTGGAAAATGTTCGAATCATATGTAATGGAAAGAAAACATTACGTTCGGAGTGAACTTTAGTGAGTGCCCACGCTACGTTAACATAAATGTTTAGGAGTTCACGAACTTCACATTATATTATAGTATAATATATTTCATAGACTAATAATATACAGAATTTCATTAGGAGTATTTGGATTCCTTTGTCTATCTATTTTTCTTAATACGGAAACATATTACGTACCGTGACCTTGATGAACACCCAATGTGTAAAGTATGTAGAACTGGGTACGTCAAGTATCCCCCAGAGACAAAATGGGTGATAGGGGGGTTAAACAAGAGAAAGACTTTGCGAATCTTGGACTGATGATAGCCAGTACATTTTCCGGACACCGTTCTATAAGTAAGACTAGAAGCCGAAAAATCACATTTGTGACGGAATCTAAAGTAACAAATACATTATCGTTCGATTTAAGAACCTCACATTTATATATTTGAAGAATAATAATAATAATAATTTCTCTTTTTTTTTCTCTCCCAATAGTCCCTAACGCTCCGGCCGATTATTGCCCACCTCGCCGGAGTGTGTCCTGCCGTCTTCCCAGGCGTGGCAGTGTTTAATACACTATAATAATAAATTTTTATTTCAGAATTAAATTCCATATGAAGTGTTAGTAATACAAAATCTTAAAGTGTTAGTAATACAAAGTCTTTCTTAAAAAAAGCAGTACATTTTATTTATTTTACATTGACCATGGCTGCTCTTGAGCCAACATGAATAAGAAAACGTAAAATTATCAAAACTTTCATAAACTAACTGTAGATGAGTCGCGAAATCAGATTAAGAACTGGGTCAAAGTCAAGTCGGGGTCGACGGCCCGTGGCGGTGTCGAGAGTCTAATAATTACGTAACAAGGATGTCGCGACGATACACTACCCTCCACAATAATTTGTTGTCTAAAGTACCGGCTTTAGGTTGAAAATCACGTGACATCTACAGAGTGATCTTGATAAGCTTTGTTATATCTGCATTGTTTACCTTGAATTTTTTTAATCCATTCTCGAATTTATTATTTGACGAGGTGGTCAAACGAGCTTATGGCTCATCTGATGTTAAGCGGCATCCAATGGCACAATTAAAATAAACTAGTAACATCTATTTCACGAATGCCTTAACTGCGATGCTATTATTATCCCTTTAAAGTACTTATAAATTTAAAATGAACTTACTTTCTCACTGGTCGTGGTGGCTTACACACAAGTAGAGTACTGCATTCGGATAAACTAATTTCATCCGGTTTTGTATTAATTCCTGAAAACAGAAAATGATTTTAAAAGCAGTCAACAAAGAAGCACAATCATTAAAATTTAAATAATCATTTTGATTAAATAAAATGTCAATCAGCAGCGTATCGATAAATTACCATAATGAAATTCGGGGATACAATTGTATGTTTAATGAAAAACGGCATAAGCGGGCCGCACTTTCACTTTTATTTATTTCTTTTTTGTTGGTTAGTTGGGTAGACGAGCTCCCAGTCCACCTGGTGTTAAGTGGTTATTGGAGCCCATAGACATCTACAACGTAAATGCGCCACACACCTTGAGATATAAGTTCTAAGATCTCAAGTATAGTTACAACGTCTGCTCCACCCTTCAAACCGAAACGCATTACTGCCTCACGGCAAAAATAGGCAGGGTAGTGGTACCTACCCGCGCGGACTCACAAGAGGTCCTACCACCAGTAAGACCCTTTAGATATACACTTCTAGATTAGTCAAATTGTATTCAAAAAATTGCTTGATTGCCTGCTGGACTGCAGCTTATCTAGCGCACCTATTTGCGGATCACGATTTATTAAATCATCGGCCACTTCCGTAGAGAAGGCGATTCCATTTATATTTTCGGGCGTGCGCAATAAAATCGATACTGTGAACTTTCCAAGAGTACAGTGACCCAGTCATGCGCTCCATCCGAATAAGGCCACACGTTGCATAAAATACAGTAACGTGAAATAAAACAGTCCAAACGAGACTAGCATCGTCCAATTAGTGTCAAAAGGCTCGCGCGCATAAAGAGAAACTCGACTCATTTCACTGTCAATAAAACCTAGTAGACTTTATTACGAATGTAATTATTTTAAACAAGTTTTATATTACAAGGTTTTATTTAAATACGTAGGTATGTACGCGTCTACGTAAATTTTCGAGAGTTAAGAAGTCCTAAGCAAACAAAGGGCACGAATTAATGGCGCATTTTGTTCCGACAGACTCACAAATGTAAATAATATACATATACTCGTATATACGTTAATCATTCTTAAACATTTTAATTATCTTTTGCCAGATCAAAGGGGGAAATTTAGAGAAAAATCGGTAAAACCGCCGCCGCACATGTGACGTTATGTAAATAGCGGATAAACATGCAATCGGAAAAAGGGACGTGGGACAGACGTTTATAACAGTGACAAATTGCGATCTACTGGCTGCTACGGTCCACCCTCGTGTTTTACCGATGTTTCGCTATTCCGGTCAGGATGTTTGAAAAATAGTTCAGTTCAGCAGTTTACAGCTTTCGATTTTTGGTTTTTTTTTTCTCATTACTTTATCTTTTTTTATTACTTAGATGGGTGGACGAGCTCACAGCCCACCTGATGTTAAGTGGTTACTGGAGCCCATGGACATCTACAACGTAAATGCGCCACCCACCTTGAGATATAAGTTCTAAGATCTCAGTATGGTTACAACGGCTGCCCCACCCTTCAAACCGAAACGCATTACTGCTTCACGGCAGAAATAGGCAGGGCGGTGGTACCTACCCGCGCGGACTCACAAGAGGTCCTACCACCAGTAAATATCTATATTTGGGATGGTATTCTCCAGGCTACAGGTATTTGTATCACTTGCCGTGTAATAACTATAACCTGTATTTGTTTAATATGTAGTTCTCAACTATTTCATTAACTAACTAATTTCATTTTGCGTCTTTTTATTTAGAATCATTAAAAAAAAACATTTTAAAATGAGATAAAACCGCAAAAATCTCTTTGGAATATTCCATAATTATCCGACTGAAGTTATAACGATGCAAAACTGTAGTTAATACAACTTAAATGAATACAGTTGTAAATAAACCTTTTAAGAATATTGTGCAGACTGTACGATTAGAGCCTACCACTTGAAAAGCGATAAAAATCCATTTTGAATGCGCATATTTTCCTGCAAGCCGGCGTCCCGCGCGGTCGGAGACAAAGGCCTGTGAAATTACAGTCTTGCTTTTAAATGCGAGAATGAATCGCAATGTCTCATCCCCTCAAAGCTTTGCGAAACTGTTTTGAAAAACGTTACTGCGCCCCTATTCTTGTTAAATGCAGTAAAACTTTATGACTCTGTTTTATTTGAAATTAGACTATATTCTATTATAATGTTCAGTTTTTTTATTTAATAATGCTAAGGTACACAAGCTCGTATTGGGCAGATATCGACGCTTGAAAGGCAAACGTGACTAAGCGACAATGCGCGAACTTTACAGTAGACTAATTTAAAGTTAAAATATCTAAAAACAAAATTTATTTTAACGAATCTAGCTGTAGTAGAATCTAGCTAGTAGCTGTAGGATTGAAATGATTTTAATAGACCTAGAAATATATTTTTTTTGCGCATCGAATATGGTTATTGGCTATCATTTATGTACAAAGCAGTTATTGTCGCTTAGTCACGTTTGCCTTTCAAGCGTCGATATGCATTCCGATCTGAAAGGGCATTCACGCCCGGGACACCAGTGCTAAGAGGCCCCTATTGTGTTGTGCTGTGCGATTGTGTGTGCCCAAAGTGAGTGTGTTTGCATCTAGCGGTGTTGTTTCGGCGCGGAGACGTTCCGAGCAACGTAACGCAGGACCCGGGACCAGGTGAGTTGTTCGACACTTTCTTTCCTAACATTGGTTAATTGCGGGTAGTTGTCGTTCAGCCTGGAAAAGCTGCGTACTCATTTTATTCTAAGAATAAAAACCGAGTTACGTTAGCGCCTTCGAGTCTGGCCAGCTGTGTCCGTTCCCAGTCCTCCCCTACCCTTCGGGGTTAGGAGGGGCTGTTACCAAACCCGCGTAAGCCGATTTATGGTGGTGGATCACGGCAGCGTCGGGAAACTAGTACTTAGTTAGTTCCGTCCTAGGTTAATAGTTTATTGTTCTTATATAGTTATTGATTCATTGTTATATTCTAATTTTAATTCCTTTATTTTTCTTATACAATTAACCTAAGCTTTAATTTAATTAAATTTATTATTAGTAATTAGTATCAGAGGGTAGTTACCTCAACTACCTACTAGCGCCAATGCGGCAATTTATGTACAAATAATTAGTCGTAAATTTAGATATACCCTTCATAACCTTAATATTTTTATTTCCTTTTTAAATTTCAAATTGTGTTAGATTAAATGTTGTCTGATTGCATATTGGCGGCCGTCCCACTTTCATAAGTGATCATTTCTATTGTAGTTCAGTTTAGTCATTAAATTTTAAGCATTTTTGTCTGTCCTTTTGAGTTTCACATTCTCTTTTGATTGCCACGGGACATATTGCGGGCTTTCCCGTCGTTGCCGGTTTAGTATTTGCTGTAGTATATAATTTAATTTAATTAATTTAATTAATTCTTAGTGCTGGTATTCTATCCCCATCTTATTTTAAGTTGGGGTGAAATTCTAGCTCTTTCTTCTGATTCTTATGTTATTACTAGTTTTATATTTATAGTAGTAGTCATCCAATAGTTTAAATTTAGTATATTATACGCCGATCGAGCTGGACCCCCTGAGGGTAAGTTTGTTTCACTGTTTTCATTTTAATTATTCTGTTTATTATTTAATTACGTACACTTGGCCAACCGGTCACGGCGGATGCCTGCGGTGTGCTTCGGGCCTAATTGTAAGTAAATTCTTAATTATTAATTTTAATTCCTTTTGCATTATTCCTTTTTAATTGTCCAATTAGTTTATTATTATCAATTAGTAGTTATAGTTCATTTTTTCATTTTTTATTTTTACAATAGTTGTGTTGGGTACTCCCAACATGAAAGCTGGGTCAGCCGTCTGCTGTAACCTGTAATTAGTAGTACAAATGTACCGACTCTAGCTGTGACCAAACTTAAGTCGGCTAAGTCATGTCGAGGGGGAATTCACCCCCTAATATCAGCACACCCGGCCCGTCCCAATTGGGACGTCAGGCGATGCCCGAATTGCGTCCTACACCAACACCTGCAGTCCGTATGGCCCCGATGGGTCCTCGGTTGGATAGTTCGTCCGGGTCTTCGGCTGCGGCCAAGGGGTTCCCGAGGATCGGACCGGTGGAAAGTACCTTTCCTTCGTCGACCGATCCCTCCGGACCCTCTCGGCCGCGGAAGAAGGCCAGGTCCGAGTCTGACCGAGGCTCATCGGGTGACCAAGATAAACGCCCGCGTATAGGCCCTTCCTCCAGGTCGGAGGGAGAAGAGAGCGTGACCACGTCCACGGATCACTCCTCTACCGAGTCTATCACTCCTTCCTCGTCAAGATCCACTTCCCCCTCTGGGAGTCCAATCCCAGTCCAACCCGTTCCCAAGCCTAGAGCACCCGCCAGGACAGGGATTGCTCCTAGGCAATTGAGAACCCCTCCTCACTCTCCTTCCCCAACTTTATCCCCAATCCCGGTGGACTCTACCCGAGGTGCCCCCGCCCTAAGCGGCACGGCGGGTAACCTGGACTCCACCAGGTACATGGACCTCGAGTCCACCAGACCACGTCACGCCCCTATGCCTAACCCCATTCCCTCTACCTCCTATGCTGCCATGGCAGCTAGGCCGAGTATTCCTTCCACCCAGAGGACATCCCAATCCTCTCATGTCCCTCCCCCGAGGCCGAAGGGTCGTGCCCAAGAGGAGCTGCGCCGACATCCGCCAATAATGGTGGAGGCCCTTCCTAATTGGTCCCGCCACATGGCGGCCATTAGGGAGCGCCTCGGTCGCGCCCCCTCGGTGCGACCCTTCGGCGCCGGCTTTAGATTCCTGCCGACGTCGGTAGAGGAATACAGGGCGGTCCAGGCCTACCTGTCGGAGGCCTCTGCCAGGGATGGTACCATAAAATGGTACTGCTATGCCCTGACAGGGGAGATTCCGACTAAGGTGGCTGTCCGGGGCCTCCCTGCCGATACTGACGCGGCAGAAGTAACCGATGCCCTGAAGGAGCTGGGGTTTCCGGCTCGTCACGCCAGGTGCATCAGGTCCCAGAGAGGGCGCCCGGGCTGCGTGTTNTATTTTTTATATTTACTAACTATCACGCCACGTTAACTGGTCCCGTGCTAAGTTCGTAAAGAACTTGTGTTACAAGTACCAGATAACGGAAATAAATATAATATTTTTATTATACACATACATATATTTAATATACACCCATAACCCTGGAAAGACATTTATATTTATCATACAAATATCTTCCCTTGGCGGGATTCGAACCCGCGACCCCCTTGTGTAGTGACCATGTCACTTACCACTACACCAGACGGCCGTTTATAATTGCGGATTATATTAAACCCATAGCAAGTCTACACGTAAAACAAACAAATGTTTTTAAATAATTTAATTAATCAACTATAATAATTGCTGATTGCCATTTTAATTTATCACAAGAAGCAGGCATGACGACTTTGTTGATTGTACTCAATTCTGACCAAAATGAAAATGTATTCTGACCTAATTGTTGTTTTGACGTGATGTATTATTATATCGTGACATATTCTATTTGACAATAACCTTTATCGTAATTAATTAAATAGCGGTTTTGGATGAAATTAGAACAAAAAATATATATTGTAATACGGACTAACAAAAAACACTATCGACAGGGACACAAAGGGTAATTTTGTGCTATTGCTCTTTATAAATTGTTTCAATAAACAGACACAGCTCTGTTGCTGTACAATATTAGTATTTATTTATAACTTTTTAAATGTTTTCCTCAAATCGCTATCAGAAAGTCAAGTAGTCGAAATAAATCAATGTTTTCACTTTACAGGAAGTTTATGCGCGGGAAACAAAGTTAAAAGATGTTTTCTGTGTTCGCGTTTGAGCTCACAGAGTGATGATGATGTAGCGATATTTCAGAAAACTTTATATCAGTAACTCACCCGCATTCCTAGCTTCCTCTTTGATTACTGTTTCGCTGGCAAGTCCCGCTGAACTGGAAATAGCAAGTTCATGAAAATTTATTCGAAAATAGTCACTATTTTATTAAGATTGCCTGAATCTGATAAAGCTATTTACGATAACTACAGTGAAATCTGCTCTTACTGAATTCACAAATTAACTCTTTGAGAGGTTATTCCGGAACATTTTTTTCCAGATGCAATACCAATTCTCTGACCTCACGGTTAACCCACTTCCCTATTCTATCCCATTTTAATATACTAATTCAAATACTAATAATTATAATTAAATCTACTTTTACCGTACAATCTTGTGTTTATTTGTTTTCGATTAATAGTTTTGCTATGTTTCAAATACTTTATAGTACCGAAAATAACTTTTACTATGGCTAAGAGTTGATAAAGTCATAAATGTATTCTGGTATATTTGCAATTAGAGCCAACTTGGGACATATTACATAGGCTACACAGAAAATAAAAAAAGTACAGGTCTGGTCGTATATATACATATATATATAGTGTTTGTGTGCGAACCTGTGTGCCATGTAGTTACAGAACATTCAATCGCTACCAAAATGTATGAACAATGTATATTCAGGGGGCTACGTTTGAGTGTTTTGATGTTTAATTATATTCCGAATTGGGAAAACATATAACACCTCAGAATTTGCTTTCAACAATTACAAATTAATTAACAGACGTATTAAATTTTCGCGTAGCACGACATTTGTTTGATTGTCAAATTAAATAATAATAATGAATAAAGAACAGTTAAGCGTGACGTTTACCTGTTGAAGTTTTGTTCCTTATTCATCAGTCCCGTGTTTTCGTTTCTTACACAAAGAGAATAACGTTTTCCTCCGCCGTGTGAACTCCGCGAGACGTATCTTGCTTTGTTCTCGACGCCTGTGACAAAATTTATTTAGTATAACGTAACAGAATTACATGAACGACGCTTAGATCAATCGTTGATGGTTAAAGTAATGTAATAATATTCTTAAAGCATTTTCTAATCTGCGTAAATGTAAACCCTTTTTTTAAACCTAAATAATAGTCGGTAACGTAAGAGAATATTGTTATTATACGCGGACGAGTAGGTGAGCTCACGGGGCTCAACCGGAGAGAACTTGCTAATGTTAGGGGTTGCAAACCAGTGTCAAGAAAATAGTAGCATATAACATAGCACTAGATGATGACCGAGCTTTGCTCGGTTTTTGATAACGCCATTGTTGTGTCTTTAAAGCGGTTAGTTGCCCTCAATTAAGAAAAATAGTATTATTATTCGCCAATAGATGTCAGGAAGAGTTGATTATTGAAAACATGAATAAAACAATATTTCCTGAAAATAAATCGTAGCTAAATCGATTTATCGCCTCCGAAATCCCCTGTATACTAAGTTTTATGAAAATCGTTGGAGCCGTTTCCGAGATTCAGATTATATATAAGTATACAGTCAAACCTGGGTAAGTGAGAACTGGATAAGTGAGAAAACTCTATAAGTGAGAGTAATAGCCAGGACCCGTCATTTTTAGCTCCTAAAACCTCTATTAGCGAGAAACGGAAACCTCTATAAGAGAGAGTAACTTTTCCCTCATGAACCTCCGTAAGTGAGACTGCTACTATTCTATACCTCTATAAGCGACAGTCGAGCTTTATTTATTTATATTATTTAGGAGGAAAAAATGACAAAACAAGTTACAAATTTAAAATCTGCTATTTTCTGACCCATTCTTAACTTTCATGGAACTTCTTAACATTGTTTTTGTATTGTTTTCTCGTCAATATTGAACCCATTCTATTTCGTGGAACTAAATAACGATGTTATTTTATGGCATTCTTTTCGAATGGACACGTGTGCCTGTGTACCATCTTGTTTGTCAGACTTACTCAGTTTATCGTTAATCAATTGCGAAGGAAAGTTCTGTTCTGCATCAGGTCAAAACGGAAAATTAAACTACTGTCATTAAGTGATAAACTTAAAATAGTGAATTCGTTTGAATCCGTAAAATCGCTAAATGAAATTCAGAGGGAGCATTAGAGAGAAACCCGGGTTAGTGAGAAACCTCTATAAGCGAGAATGAGATTGTGCTCCCTTGAACTCTCGCTTATCCAGGTTTGACTGTATATGTATATACAAGAATTGCTCGTTTAAAAGTATAAGATATGTAGCTACATACAGGCTGTAAAAAGATAGTTCCTGAAGCCTAAACGCTAATAATCTGATAGATTAATGCAAACGAAAATTCAAGTGCCTTTTATTATTTTACTAAGCTGAGCATAAGTACTTCTCATTTCAATGAGTTTAGATTTCGTGAATCCGCTATTTTTTTTTTTTTTTTTTTTTTTTTTGGTTTCATNAGGCACGACGGAGGCTGCGGTGCTCGATGCAGAAGCTTTGCACGCAGGTACAGGCGACGCAGGAGCAGCGAGCTCGGCGGAGTCCACGAGAGGGCTCGCGGTGTGATCGGCCTTGAAGGCCAGAAACTCTGAGGCGAGCTGTGGGTGGCGAAGTCGGAGGAATTCCGCGAATACAGCGTCCATGATCGCTGAGTGCCCAGGGGGGGCGGCCCCGGGTCTTGAAATCACTCGCCTTGCGGCGAGGCCCCAACTTCTCGGACCTGAGCGGTTCTATTGAACACAGGTGGCGATGCGGCACGATTACTACAGGACAAAGAAAAAACACAACAAAACGGAAATAACAAAAAGAAACAGAACAATTGAACACTTCCAGGAAAACAGTTTGTCGGCAGATGTACCACGAACACAGAAACAACAAAAGGAAACAAAAACATATAAAACCTCCCAGAAAGAGCACTTAGTCGGCAGATGTACCTCGAACACAGGCCGCGCGAACAATGGCCGGGCTAACAAAAGCCGGGCGAACAAAGACCGGGCGATCGAGTGGTCGATGAGCACGTCCGCACGTGACGGGTGCCTCTATCGGAATGAATCCGCTATTCAAAACGAAACGATATTATGACGATATTATAATTCATGAATCAGCAGATATCTAATTGAGTCTAACGCAAGGAATCTCAATAAATACAATGCTTGGCGTGACATTTATTTTCTTTTCTTTAATCATCTCCGTAATTATAAACATTATTAATAGGCGACGTTTTTGAAAAAAAATTCGAAGCTGTGAACATAATAGTGAAGATACAAATCTTAAGGTAGCCACGCCGCGCGTAAGCAATGTGGCTAACCTTTATCTTAAGTAGTGCTGAATGACCACACGGCGCCACGCCATCCTGGGTATTGTGAAGGGTAAGATAGCCGCGAAGCCAATGAAGATGAGACTTCAATTTATTGTCTCAAGGTCGTATTCACGTTGTGTTATCTATGACCTGCTGTCTGTTGTAGCTTCTTATGTATATTAAACTTTAAGCGTTGTCCTTTATTTACTTTCTGTGCTATTTTTTTATCTTTTATGAAATAAAGCTACGTGTGAATGTGAGCGACTGGCATCCGACTTATTAAACATATGACACATCCCCAATACACTCGACTGCACCCTCGTCACCTGACTCTTACATTCTGTCCTTTTTGTGACACGTCGTTTCTATAATAGCAAAATTGTTTTTACGTAATGGTCCCACAGAAATTGACTATAATTATTAATTTAAATTATAAATTTGAACATTATTATGGTTCTATTGTCAAAAACTTGACTTCTTTAAATAATATTAAAGACCAACAGTATTAATCTATTATTTTTTTCTAAATGATTTTATGACCTGGTAACAGTTACCAAGACCTTAGTTACTAAGATCTTTATTAGGTCATGTCTTATTTTAATTTATATTCTTATTTTTATGAAAAATAATAATATGGAGTGAAATTGAATGAAATGAAGATGATTAATTTGAGATATTAATCAACTGGGATGAAATGAAATGAAATGAGATGAGATGATATGATGGGATGAAATATAACTCAACATCAGATAATATTAATCTGTAAGCTCGTACACCATTCTGTACAGTAAAAAAACATACGAAAATATGATCGCTAGTTTATTATTATTATTTTTTTATTGCCCTTGTAGGCAGACATCGCTGGTTTATTATTTTACGTATCAACGAATCTATAAGTGAATAGGAATTTTCTGGGCCAAAGAGTAACACAAGAAGCTCTTTATTGCGAGAAAATGTTTCATCTGTCTGAATCATACAAATTTAACACCGGTGAAACCCGTAGTACTAAACAAAAACTTAAACAATAATACACAAATTAATTAGAAAAATTATTCCGTAAGCAGAGACCACAAATTAAATTTACGGCCTAATTAACCTTTTTGAAAGCGTCGCTTAAACGATAATCCTCCCCCGAGAGGATTTCGTTTCACTCGACCATTTCAATTGCAATTAAATTTTGGGGCAAATTGAATCGATTCGGTTCGACAGCGTTCGAAGCCGAGTGCTCAACAAATAGTCTGTCCCAATTTATTTCCATCGCACATAATGAGATACGTTTCGCAGCGAATACGTTTTCGTTTGGTGCGCAATGAAATTTTCACGCGCTTTTGTAATAAATCGTACGAAGTATTTGTTCGATAAAATGAGTTTCGGTAAATATTTTGGCGCGACGTATCTATAGACGCACGCTTATATACTATTTGGTCTGTATTATTTGTTTATAAATTCTAAATTCAAACATTCAAAATTAAGTTACAATGAAAGTACATTTTTCAATAAACGCAGTTACACTAGCAGCTACCTGAGCGCATATTATATTCCCAGTTACTCAGACTCCTATATTCCATTGACTATTTTCTAAGATATTAAATTACAATATTTTCGACTGTAAACTAAATTTTGTCGACCTAACAGTATATAGAGTAGATGTGGCTGTAGTAGTCCGTTTACATGGTATTAATAAATAAAAACATTATTAAAACATGCTCACACTTCATTACATTAAAGGTGGTCCTATAGATTTCTTTACCATTAACAGTGTGAAACTTAAATGTAAACTAAAATCATATTTTTTTTATTGCCCGTGTCGGCAGACGAGCATACGGCCCACCTGATGGTGAGTAGTTACCGTCGACCATGGACTTCAGCAATCCCAGGGGCAGAGCCAAGCCGCTGCCTAGCCTATACCTATCGTGTTTATGGACCCCTCTATATATTCTAAAACCGATTAAAGTCACAAAGTGTACTGCTGTATATGAATTATGTTCTTGTAATTGTAATAGTATTACTGGTGGTAGGACCTCTTGTGAGTCCGCACGGGTAGGTACCACCACCCTGCCTATTTCTGCCGTGAAGCAGTAATGCGTTTCGGTTTGAAGGGTAGGGCAGTCGTTGTAACTATACTGCGACCTTAGAACTCATATCTCAAGGTGTGTGTGGCGGTATTTACATTGTAGATGTCCCATCGAGGCAATAACAAAAAATATAAAAAAAAAATTGTGATTTATACATCTGTGTTATCTGTGTTGTAACTGTATTGTTATTGAAAACATCAGGAAAATAAATAACAAAACAAGTGAATTTTATTTAAAACAGATAGAAAATTGATAAAAGTTTTAATACAATAACAACAATTTCAGGATCAATATTTGTTTATTTATTAACATGCTTCTGTGTATTCGATGTTTTTTGTATGCGACATAAAGCTACAAATCATAGGTGGGACTCACCCATACCACGGAGCTTCGCCACCCCCGACTCACTCGCCGCCATTCGTCGACATCTGTGAAAAATAACAATATATCGACCTCTTTTAAGACATAACGCTGTATTGTGAAAAATAGAAAACGTAATTTGTTACGACACCTGATAGACAGAGAGAGAGGGAGAGAGAGAGAGATAGATATTATTAAAAATAACTACGGCGTCTTTTGTGCAATTTATTTATTTATTTATTACATTTCATGTAGAATTTACATTGGCGGATTTAATGCCTAAGGCATTCTCTACCAGTGAACCAAAGTTAGTGCAGAGTAAATAGTGGTAGGTGCAATGAAATTTATATTAAGTTAATTTAATTAAGTTAATTATTAAGACTTTATTTGTCTGAATATCAAAAACTTCTAGCTTCAACACTTCAATCTGTTTCAAAACAATTTTCATTTATTAAATGTGGCTTTCAATAGTCACTCAGGCACTGAAACATCTTATTTGCATCCATGGCCTTACTAGGCATAGCCTACTAATAGGACGCACCATTTACTCACAGTCATTCCGGCTTAATCCTCTAGTTACTTTTCAACTTTTTTGCTTATTAGTGACGGGTAGGGGGGGGGGGTATTTTAAAGCCATCTAGTGAAGTCCCTGTGCTTATTTCTGCCGTAAAGTATTTATGCGATACGGTTTCAAGGGCTGGAACAGCCGTTACAGACGGAGACAGTTTTGATGTGATGTGTTCAGTGATTGCTTGTGGATTCCGGTCACTACTGACTGAACAACAGATGAACCGTGAACCCGAATAACAAAAAAAACTTTTCTACTCTTTCCCTTACTGCCATGTTCTTAAGCCAATCATTCGCGAGTATACCTTCTTTCACGCAGACGTTAGAGGCGGCAGATCGTAAAAGTGTAAGGTAAATCAAATTACGAGCTGTGTCCGCATAGCTTTTTTATTTCCTTAGAGGCAAAATTCGAACCGTACCAAAAGAAGAAAAAAATGCTATAAATGGACAGCCCAGTTCACAATCCATCTAGTATTAGACCTAGACCCAGAGATATAAAAATGGGTGCTATCTAACTCACTCGCATAATTATTTCACAGAGTTAAGCCTTGTTCGGACTAGGCGAGTATTTTAGTCGAGTACCGAGTAATTTAGAGGCTAAACTACTCGCTACTCGCCCGAAAAAATAGAACAAAATCTATTGACTTGACTAAATTATTTACTAACCTACTCGACTAAATTTTTGGTGCTCAGACACATTTAGCTACTAAATTACTCGGTACTCGACTAAAATACTCGCCTAGTCCGAACAAGACTTTAGTGCGATTGTGACACTTTCTTGGACTTACAATATATACTGTAAGGAACATAGTTAACGAAGGCGCCTAGTACGCAATGGGTAATAAACGAAGATGCGCTTTCATTTCACATAGTAGCTCCTAGAGTATATTTATTCACAAAGTTTAGTGAGACTTATTTGTTTAATCTATACTAATATTATAAAGCTGAAGAGTTTGTTTGTTTGAACGCGCTAATCTCAGGAACTACTGGTCCGATTTGAAAAATTCTTTCAGTGTTAGATAGCCCATTTATTGAGGAAGGCTATAAATAGGCTATACAAAATCACGCTAAGACCAATGCAAGCGGAGCACCAATAAATAATGTTTCAAAATCGGGGTTTTAATCCCTTTTGAGAGCTTCCACTGCGTAAATGAAGAGCCAGGTAAAATGTAGCGTTATGCCAAAGTAACTATTCCAGGCGGACGGAGTCGCGGGCAAAAGTTATTAGAATAATAAACTAAATGTTGCATCAACGAACGCAATAGTTAATTGAGCCACTAGTCATTTAAAAACCATGAAGTGTTCGAATATTTGAATATCTTTGTTGGCAACTGAAATTTATTAACAAAACATCTATGATGTAAATACTACCAGTTTGTTGATTCAGTGAACACTCTATTCAATTTTTAGAATAATATTTGTATGATTTCTACAACAAAAGGATACCCGCTTGTTACCTGTGAATAAAGTTCATTGTAATGTAAAAAGACTGTAGTATTCTTAAGTCAAACATTCAGAGGGGCGGCACGTCGCAAAGGTTGCTATTTGCGCCTCATTCGATTATTCAAGAAGCAGAGTTCTTTGTATTAAATAAAAGATTCGGTCGAAGGGTTTCAGTTCGCGACCCGCCTAATGGTGGTTAAGTAACCGCCGCCCAAGATGTCCAAAGTCTCTGAGGATTTGCTCCAACATTCTCAGCTTCGTAGGATTTATTTCTTTTCATTGAGAGCGAATTCGGTGATGTTCGTAAGTTATATTTGCCATTACAAAATTTTCGGTATATTGATTTTAAAAAAAAAGATGTGTGGTGTCGTGGGACACCGAATAGGAACGAAGTTCTTTATTACAAAAATATTTATTTAAATTTCTATTCGAGGTATAAAGAAAATAAAACTGGAGGTTTCGCAACAACCCACGGTCATTCGGTAACGTGCGAACTTATTGTGGTACACTTTATTCACGGTTTTTTGCATAAGAGTTAGTGTATTGCGCAAACGAACGCTCTCAGATCGTGGTCAATGAATGATAAAAAAAAATGTTATTTTTTTACGTTATTACAAAGTTAAGTCGTACACTGTGTGCATTACTAATTTGTACGTTATTACAAAGTTAAGTAATTCTTAAGTAAATCTTACCTTTCTTTCTTATCTTTTTTCCCGGTTACCCTCCCTCCGCATCGTCCCATAAGGAACTTCGTTCCAAAAGATTCATAACGCATTTATTATGTGTGAAAACCTTCATGACTTCTTTTTCAATTAGAATGCATTATACTAAACACAAATACTTTAAGTTGCAATGTAGTTTTTCTTGTATACACTTTACACGACTGTTGCACTAAACAACAAAGTGCACCTAATTGCGGTAATTTTGGGCGGCATGCTATCATTTAAACATTAACAAGCTAACAATGCGTAGGGCTCCACGTACTTCCTGCAATATCTCGAAAGTTTCAAGCCCTGTATACGAACAATACTCATTGTAAGCACGTCAAACAATGAAGGCACGGTGACAGCCTACGGTGGACGACTCGAGGGCCATCATGTATTCCACAAAAATTTCATTGTTATCATGAGCACTTTCCATAACCACGTAACCCTAGTCTGAGAAAAAAAATCGCACACATACACACTCGTATGACCGTATATATTTATTGTTTTGGTTTAGTGTAGCTATTTGGCTCAATCCAAAAGAATATTGAGTAAAGGGTTCATTTCAGGAACAATGAGACAATTTCTAATGACCGACTATGTTTTTTTTTTGGTGCTTAGACGGTTGAATGAGCTCACGGCCCACCTGGTGTTAAATGATTAGTGCCATAGACATCAACAATGTAAACAAGACCGCCCACTATGAGACATAAGTAAAGCCCATAGACATCAAAATCCAAATATAATAGAACCGTCCACCTTGAGATATCAGTTCTTAGTCTAAGTTCTATACAACGGCTGCCCCTCAACTCGAAGCAAAATGCATTACAGCTTCGCAACGGCAATGACCAGAATGGTGGTATCTACCAGTGCGAGGTTACCAAACTACCAATTATAATTATTATAATTTCCGCGACTAGCATTTCTTCCTTGTGTAAGTCATTCGTGAACATGTGTTAAGTACGTATTTCATTAGAAAAGTGTCCATCTTTCGATATGAATGCACCAGGCATCTCAACCTTTCGGCAAATGCGACTTCACACACTACTCAATTATTTGACTAAATTAACAAAAGTTTCAGTGCTTCGTTACTGTATCATAAAAAATTACATGACTAATATAATAATAAATAAATAGATAAATATTTACTAACAATCACGCCACGTTAACTGGTCCCGTGATAAGTTCGTAAAGAACTTGTGTTACAGGTACCAGATAATGGAAATAAATGTAAGATTTTTATTATACATACACATATTTAATATACATCCATAACCCTGGAAAAGACATTTATAATTATCATTCAAATATATTTCCTTGGCGGGATTCGAACCCGCGACCCCCTTATGTAGTGACTATGTCACTTACCACTACACCAGACGGCCGTTATAACGACTAAATATAGTCTTGAACAGTCTCAAATATTAGGCATTGTTCATAAGGGGGAAACGTGGAATGTATTGACAGTTGTGATTGATGAGGCAGATGGGAGCACCATGGTGTAACGGAATACCTAATGGCCTCGAAACAGTAATTTATCACATCCGGATTATTTGCTATTTCAGTTAAATTTAAATACACGTTTTGACCGCTGACTCATTCGAATTTAACAGCAAAATTTGTAAAGAATTTAAAACATAAGTATGAATAACGCATTATTTAGTACCGATTAAAATTCCTTGCTTTTTATTTGGGGCCTACTTCATTACTAGTAGCCTCGTAAGGCTATTCTCGTAGTAAGATTTCGTAGTGGAACTTCTATTTTTCTCAATTATATAATATTCATCAACACATTCAGATAGCTCAAGAATATTTTACATAATATTTTCCATGAAATTTCAAATACCTTCATTTAAGATAAAATTACCTAATCTTATTTGGGACACGAATTATAAGAAGAATGAAATAATTGAAGATTTGAAATCTTCCGATCTCCGATATTTATTTCATCGGACAAATTTTCGAGGATAATTCTCATTATAATATACATATATGTACGTATATTGACCGGGAGTGATCACATGATACACCCATTGCTAACTCCTGCGCTAGAGTAGAAGTGACGCGATAGTAGGTATGTCATCTGTTCTAAGCTTTTCCTTTCTCATAAAGTATCCTCAGCAGATGGACAAAGTACTTGGGGGTATCCAAGGCCAAGAGAGTTTCCAAAAGATTGGCCATTTGACAGAACCAAACTCCTTAGAGAAATCTACAAAGCATATGTACGTGCGTAGGCTTGTTGAATTCCCAGGATTTTTCTATGATCTCTCCAACGGTCAATATTTGTTCTTGGGTACGTTTTCCTTTCACAAAGCCAGCCTGTTCGGGAATAATTACTTTGGAGAGATACGATTTAAGCCGCTCAATAAGGATGTGCAGTAAGATTTTTCTTGCGTATGAAATTAATGCTATGAGGCGGTAATTACTATAACTTTTTGTAGAGCATTTTTAATGCATCAGGATGAAAAGCGCCCATAGCCATATGAGCCCATTCGTGAGGCCAAGTTCCAGATTGCCATATTCAACGCCATACTTCCCTGATCTCTCGATGGCTACAATCGGAATGGTTTCCTTTCGTATGACTTTGCCGTTCTTAATGTGTTTTATTGCACCACGAACTTCATCCTTAAGAATATTCGGTTCTATCTCTTCGTCTTGAGGTGCTGTTGGATCGAAATAGTGCGAGTTAGGGTCTTGAAACAGAGATTGACAGTACTGTTTCCACGTTTCGGAAACATTTTCAAGGTCACTGTTTCGCCTTGCGAATTCGCAATAGCCCATTTTTTTACAATAGAATTTTAGTAAAGGATTTCATATTCTGATGAAGTCTCGGGTTTCATGCTTATTGGCGTGTATTTCTAGATCAGTACAGAGGTTTTGAAGATTTTGATTTCGGTGTCGTCTGCATGCTTTCTGTATCTGAGCCGATTTTGCATTTAAAGTATTCAGCTTCCAAACTAGAATATTATTTATTCCGAAAAACGGATATAGTTATTTCCGTTATTTATTTCGTCCTCACTTTGGTAAGTGGCAAGTTGTGTTAAGAGGAATACACACAGTGCTCTAGATAAATACTTTTAGTTTCATATAACATCACGACAGCGTTATGATAGATGGACGCGCGAGTGTAATGCTAAAGCTATTCCAATTTATCACGGACTGACGTAACGCATCCATATTTATGAGAAAAACAGGTACGAAGAGAATTATGCATAGGTTTTTAGAACAGAGGCAGCCATGTGTTTATTAACTGGTAAATATACGAAAAGATATAAAATTTATAGCAAAATTGAACTAACAGATTTTTTACAAAGCTTACCTTATTTTTGTATGCAAAAAAATGCAAATAACTGAAATCTACGTTAGTTTGAAATCATTTATATAGTAAGAGCATAAATGTAACTCAAAGGAAAAAAAATATAGATGGAATTCATAATTATTAAATTTTACAAATCATTTATTAGATTGCTATTAAATATACAATGAGAAGAAAAGTCAAGATATACAATTTATAAAAAATGATTCTTAAGGGATTTTAATTTCTCACTATCAAATCGTTTATTGACACAACTATCGGAACAAATGTTAGTCGAATCAACATGCTGTGGCATCGGTAGCTCGTGAGCCACTTTTTAATATTTAATAAAGTTTATTATTACATAATAAATAATAAATAAAAATATAAAATAAAAAGCCTTTTATTTCTTGCATTTAAAAAAAGTTACATTACAAAAATTATAAAAAAATTGTTGATAATACATTAATAATAATCGATATTAATTATGATAGAATTCTTAATAAATTGTGTATAATATTAGTCGGATCAACATAAAATATGTAAAAAAGGTTATATTAATTTAGCATGCAGGCATGCAAGAACCCCTCTTATGTGNAAAATTATAAAAAAATTGTTGATAATACATTAATAATAATCGATATTAATTATGATAGAATTCTTAATAAATTGTGTATAATATTAGTCGGATCAACATAAAATATGTAAAAAAGGTTATATTAATTTAGCATGCAGGCATGCAAGAACCCCTCTTATGTGAGGGTGAAGGCCTCCTCCAGACTTTTCCATTTGTCTTTGTCTTATTATTACATACAGAAACAAAAGTCTTCTTTCCTAGCCCGCCTGTTGTAATTTAATCTCCTTTTTCTTATGGGTCATTGATTATTTTCCAAAAAATCGTAAAACTCTATCGTGATACTAAACTTCAAAAACTTAATCAGCTTAGAGCGTTCGAAAGATAATCGGATAGATTAAAAATAAAGGCTCGATTCCAATCTGCTTTTTAAACGTCTCTAATAATCTCTCGTAGTGATACGTTCCACGATAATCCTATTCAATAGAACGACCGTAGAGTTTGTACACCGGTAAGCTAGTGCACATGTGTTTGTACAGCACGTGTACCGTGTCGTCATCGGTAACAAGATAAGCCAGTGTTACACCAGCGTCGGACACGCCTGTCTCTCCTCATCTGTGAACGTGTGCTCTATGCATTACAGCTTTTTTTTTTTCACTTTTAATTCCATTTTGTTTGTACAGTTCCTCAAACAATTGTTCAAATACATTCGAAAAAAAGAATAACAAGTATTCAGTGTTCGTTAGATACAACGTCAACACACGACAAATCGTGCCCATTGTGCATGTTTCATCTTTTTTAAACAATAAATAACTCTATTGGAAAATCCCTGATAAATTGAACACGATGTGGATATTTAATTTGATTGTTATCCGTATTCAACCCTTTTTTTTATTGCTTAGTTGGGTGGACGAGTTCACAGTCCACCTAGTGTTAAGTGGTTACTGGAGACATCTATAACGTAAATGCGCCGCCCACCTTGAGATATAAGTTCTAAGGTCTCAGTATAGTTACAACGGCTGCCCCACCCTTCAAACCGAAACGCATTATTGCTTCACACCAGAAATAGGCAGGAAATCAATTGTGAATATTTTTAAGTACTTATTTTATTATAAAAATTGGTACCCGCCAGCGGGATTCGAACACCGATGCATCGTAAGATACAAATGCACCGAACGTCTTATCCTTTAGGCTACGACGACTTTAAGCTTACACTTAACTACATAGCACTGTGAAAAGACCGATTCTCATTTCAAATTTACCCGCGAATCGTTATAAACCTAGAGAAAAGCGAAACCTATAAAGCGTTAAAGAAACAATGAAAAATACGAACCGTTTTACGTCGGGCGGCGGGGGGGAGATAGCCGGGGGGGCCGGTGCAGCCAGCTCCGGACCAGAGCACGAACAATACAGAGCCGGCGAGAGCGCCCCTGAAAGAAAAAAAATAACACATGAACAACCGTTCCAATTATTGACGTGGCTATGATTCGGTATAACAATTGAAAAAGTATATTTTTTTGAACCTCGCATTATCGTAATATTCGTTTTCGCCCTAGACACGTTCTTACGGACCCATCAGATCCAAAAACTCTTGCATTAGATGCCTTCAGCTCTAGGAGCAGACATAGGGACTCTGGTAACCGTACTCAACAAAGAGTTCGACGTGCAACCTAACCCATTTATCAGCCCGCTGAGTTTCACGCCGAACCTTATCAGCAGATGACGACTCCTATAGTAGATTTATTCACGAAGCAGTTGCCCTAAGCTGTTAGATCTCCTTTGGAGGCGCTTGGGCAGTTGTTAGCAAACCACATCTTCTCCTGGCGGAATCTTTGTTCACCCACCTGTATGAAACTGGAAAGGCCTCTGGGCCATCAGTTAATCCATAATAAAAAAAAGTATTCGTTTTCCTTTACACACATTATTAAAATGAATTTGTGTTTTCTAATATCCAAACTTATAGTTTTATACATAAATTAGATCATTTATTATAATTTTATAGCGAAATGCGTCGAGAAACGGAATCTAAATATAAAATTCAATAATCAATACAAAAAAAAAACATTTTTAAATCTGGATATTTTTTCCAAAAATGAACGATGTAATGCGCATTTATTTCAAGCCTTTTTATTTCCATATTAATAGGTAATTTTTCGAAAGAAAATTGTAAGCTTTTGTACAAAGTTATATCACCATACTCCATATATTCTCTGTACACAATGAGAATTAACGAACTTCGAATGTAATTAATAATAAAATATTACGTACCTACATAATAAATACGTGAATTAAATTCGAGCCATTAATTCTGTGACGACGGTATGGTTTGGTAATAGATAATATTACCCGAGAAAGCATTCTCAGAAATCGATTTCCTACGGAAATGCAAAGGCTCCAGAGGATATTGCTTTTCCTATACTACTTCATTATTCTATTTGTCTTTCTCGTACCTTAAAAAGTAACCGTCAAATATCTATCTAATTTACCATTAGCACCAAAAAAGGAGTGTTTCATACATCCATGTAATAATATTTATATATTAATACGTGAAGCAAAAACTTTGTATCCCTTTTTACGAAAATTGCGCCGACGGAGGAGCATGAAATTTCCCAGACTTATAGAAAATATAGAGAAGAAGTGCACAATGCTAATCTTTTTTTATATAATGCAGAAAAGATACATTAAGTCATTAAAAAACATTACACATACTACCATGTATTTGACACACACATATACTTTGTTTATTGTCAAACTGTTGTTATTGCTTAAAGTCTGTAGTCAAATTGAGAATAGGTTAGTATTGTTTATCTTTAATATTACAAGTATTTGTCTATAGTGTAGTCTTGGCGAAATCTGTAACAATAGGACCATAATAATGAAACTTATAATTTCAATCAATTATAGACGAATTTCGACTACTGCGGGACCACTAGTTTTATAATAATCTGATCACATTCTAGAATCAAATTATCGATTGAACGAAAAAGGAAGAGTTACACAATCAACAACAAAAGACGCGGTGAGTGCTCCGAAAAAATATTTGAGATGATTCTGTCATGTGTTTTTTTGTGATCGCACCACACATCCTCGGAGCGGATCTTATTCTTACGACCTGGAAACGCTGAATTCATCCAGAGTACGCTTCGAAAGATCACCTTTGATGTTGTTATTGCCTTGAGTGGCAGACTAGCGTACATCCCACCTGATGTCTCAGCACTCAGGAAGCACAGGAAGTTCAATCCACAGCCGAATGCTTGATGTAAAAAATACGCCCTTGAACTTCTCCTAGCGCCGTGACTTTAAACTAAGATTGATTGCTGACATCTATGANCTGAATTCATCCAGAGTACGCTTCGAAAGATCACCTTTGATGTTGTTATTGCCTTGAGTGGCAGACTAGCGTACATCCCACCTGATGTCTCAGCACTCAGGAAGCACAGGAAGTTCAATCCACAGCCGAATGCTTGATGTAAAAAATACGCCCTTGAACTTCTCCTAGCGCCGTGACTTTAAACTAAGATTGATTGCTGACATCTATGAGCCAACGGTCACCCTCAGAATCAGCCTTTTTTCTCAAATATGCGAGAAAGCAAAAAAAAAACTTTGTTCAAAATGACAAATTACATACCAAAAAGAAAAATCAACATCGTATTTCTTTAATGTTAACTTAACAGTAATATTCATGTACTTACTTCGCGAACGGAGGTTAATGACTCATTAAATTCACGTTTTTATCGTTATTTACGAAGCGGTATGATTATTTGCAAACTCAACAGTCTGAAAACGAGCCCAAAGCATTTATATTGAAATATAAAACGTAACAAGAACGTACGTAATGTATTACGCATGACTGAGGACAAGAGGCAAAAAAAAACGTAGCAGAAATACATTGGAAATCATGGGGGCTGGGGGGTGGTTTTCACGGAGGCGGATGTACGGTCTGCCGAGACTACGGACGCTAAGCACATTTCATATGTGATCCACGAGAGAGAAGGATATTGTGCTAATGTTATTACAAAGATACGGTTTAGATAAATATATCTGCCTAGATGTACGTACGTGCCTTCAAATGTTTTTGCTAAGAGAAATCTAAACATTTAAAATACGACTTTATTACGCAGTTTTAAATACTTTTTTCGTTCTATGTTCAGTTTTAAGGAGAACTAAGTTCATGAATATTATTGATTGTTTAATTTCTTAATTTGATTTATTTATAAATAAAATCAATTTATCTTAAAATATTGAACATTTACTGAACAACTACAGTTTATTTTCGAAGAAACTTTATTACACTAATTTATATATGTATATAATCAATAATAAACTTAAGACGATTATAGTCTTCCAAAAAACCGCCTTTATCTGCCCAAGACTTAAATTTCCAGCGCTTGCTAAACATTAGTCGAATTTAAACAAACACACACATAACGGTAGCTGATAGAACAAAATAAGAAATTACTTCAATTTCTCTGTATATCAAACAACTTTTATATATGAGAATTCACCAAATATTTTCATGAGCTCAGCACAGAGGTTTCTCCCATTATTCACAATTTTACGCTATATTCAATGACGCAGCAACCAAACCACGGTTCCACGGAATATATTTTATATCGTGTTTTTAATGTGAACATTATGGCGTATGTGCTTCGATTGCTATATAATTTTCCAATTTTTCCTTTCGTTTTAAAAACAGTAAGTATCCTAGAAACTGTTTTATAGAATAGAATAGTTAATAAGGGTACACACGATTTTTAATTTTAATGAGTTCCTGATTTATGAATGTTCTTGCAAAGTTTAGACTGAGAATGCGGGTAGAATGTTAGGAGCAGATAAATGTATGTACCCTCTTTGTATTCATTTTGGACATTACCACTGGACGCGATTACTCATCCCGATATGCATGGTATCCATCTTTTATTGCATTCCAAATGTTATCACAATATTAGAACTTTTTGGGTGTTTTTGTTGGGACTTGTTGAGTCTTCGACCTCATGTCTGAAGGTGAGTGTTAAAGCTGGACCGCATTCATTAGCCGTCTCACTAACTGTTCAGTTTCAAGATTAATAACTTCTATATTTTACAATTCTACTTGAATATTCATTTCGTACGCCTTGCCTGTTGAACCGAGAATGCTTTGACGAAAATAATGATACATATAATCAAGATTATTTTAAATCATTATTTGTCTTTAGGAAATTCGTATAATTAATTCGTAATATATTAGTTTTTAAAGCTATTTCGTTTCTCAATCTAAATAAAACCTTTGATTTTTAATCTCATTTTCAAATCGCGAATCAAAAGTGCCAAATCGCTTTATTTGTTTTATTGCTTTAGTAAAAAAATGTATACATTTTGCCCACCTGGTTATGAAAAGTCAAATGCACATGGACCTCGGCAATGGCAGAGGCATAGCCAAGCTGTTGTCCACTGCACATTGTTGAATTATAACATTTAAAGCTGAAACATTGAATTTAATAAACTATAAACCAGTACAGAAACCTTCGTCTTATTTTTAATTAAAGTCGGCTAATCCAACGACTTTAGACTATCAAGTATAATATGAATGACGTAACTTTTGCACATACGAAAGCTGAAAGCCCTACTTAACGGTTCTCTGTGACAGGAACAGAATTCTTGAAACAATACAATGCTGAGAGCTGTATGTATGTAGATGGAGTCAAGTGACGCGTTTTAGTCACTCAAATATGGAGTGCTACGTATGGACTCATGTGGAAAACTCAATGTATTTCCGTCACCATATCAAGAGGTGAAATGCTATTTGGTTTAAGCGACATCTTTGCAACTTCACAGGACATTTAAAGCTTAAAATTTGGACAAATAAACTTGTAAAAAAACTTCTTCAGCTATTTGAATGGGATAACCTTAGGTAAATTTCACTTTAAGACATGGAATTGTTGATACTATAATGATAACCAAATAAAACGAATGTTTAATTTAAAAGATAAATTTCGCGTATTTTTTTTTTTTAATTATTGCTCTTGTTGGCAGACGAGCATACGGCCCACCTGATGGTGAGTGGTTACCGTCGCCCATGGACTTCAGCAATGCCAGGGGCAGAGCCAAGCCGCTGCCGCCAAGCCGCTAAAAAACCCTCGATGTAATATGACTGACACATACATTTTTCTGCTAAATAATATTATTAAAATGACGAAATTAAAACTACTTTTACGGCTTAAACTCGGTTTTTTTTTTAAATCTTATTAGCTGATTCGGCAGACTTCGTAGTGCCTCAATCGATATAAAAATACCTAAACTTTTGTATAAAATAAACTTAAAACAAACAAAAGGAATCCGTCCGACGGGGGACGCATCAAAGGAAAAACAAAATTGTTATTTTTATTTAATTCCGAGCATTTTCATATTTATCTACCTTT